TACAGATCTACGATATGAACACAAAAGCAGCAACCATGAAACAAGGAAAAGACACCATAGAAGTATATTTCAGTAAAATTAATACTCTATGGAAGGAGATAGACAGAAAACTGCCTAATCCCATGAAATGTGCAGAGGATATTACTCTGTTTAATTCATTCATATAGAGGCAACGACTATACCAATTTTTGGCCGGTGTAAATGACACCTTAGACAAGGAAAAAAGGGACATACTGAATCAGGAGCCCTTACCCACAATAGATGCCGCCTATGCCTCTATACGATGGGAAATTGCTCGTCGCGGCATAATGGCTGGCGATTCATCATCGGGACAAGGTCCCTCAGAAATCAGTACTGGGCTGCTCGCAAAAAACCGGTCAGAGTCAACTTCACTCCGGCGAGACGATAGGACTCACCTGAAATGTAGCCATTGTGGTGGTACGAAACACACCAAAGATGGGTGTTTCAAACTCATCGGGTATCTAGAATGGTGGGAGGACCTAAAGCAGAGGAAGGCCGCCACCAAGGCCACGGTTTCCCGGACCGGCGGCAAGGCCAACCTCGCTTTAGCAGAACAGGGCACAGGTGGCGACACCCCCACAACGGCGGCGTACCAAACTAAAGGTACAGGCAGTGAAACCACCGTTTGTGGTGGTTTTCTAGGTAAGGAAAGGACGGTAAAGAAGGAAAAAGAAGATGAAACTAGAAAGCTCAATGAAGGTGGAAAGATCTTTCACTTTCCAGAAATTTCCATGAAAATGGAAATAATCTCTCTCTTTCCTCTTTTTATATGGAAGGGATAGAAGGTCCTAGAATCCCTAACCCTTCATTTGCCTTCACTGAACAGAAATCTTATAACCTTTGCTAACCCAAGAATCACATGGCCCAACCTTTATCCACCTTGCCATGTGACCATGATCCAACTCAGCCCAAAAACCACAAAAACCACACGGCCCAAAGTGACTTCACCCAGAAACCCACGAACCAAATTAACGCAGCCCAAAAACCCAAAACACCTACCCGAAATGAAATCAGACCCTTGGGCCTTGTATGCTAACAATTATCCAACACTTGGATTTTTGATTGTGGTGCCACCGATACAATGACATATGAGCCTTCCGATATTGTATCTCCTACCAATTCCCACCGTACCAAAATCCAAACTGCAAATGGCGAGTGTATACCCATCACCCAGGCCGGAACTGTGGATGTTACTTCTGATATTCGTTTACAGAACTGTCTTTTAATTCCTAGTCTTACTCATAAAATTTTGTCTATTAGTCGGTTAACTAGGGAACTTAATTGTACTGTTCTTATGACATCTTCTGAGTGTATTGTGCAGGATGCTCAGACGGGACGGATCATTGGTCATGATACTGAACGAGGAGGACTGTATTATGTGGATGGAACGACTCAAAATGGTACCGCTTTGCTTGCCCATGGATCACCGGAACATCAACTCTGGATGTGGCACCGCCGGTTAGGACACCCTTCCTTAGGTTATCTCAAACGATTATTTCCCTCTTTGAAAAACATTGTGGTAGACTTAGATTGTGAAGCATGTGTGTTAGCTAAAAGCCATAAACTTTCATATTATCCTAGTTTGACTGATAGTAAACCATTTGCCTTGATTCATTCTGATGTATGGGGACCAGCTCCGGAATTTTCATTTCATGATTATTCATATTTTGTTCTATTTGTGGATGATTTTACTCGTATGAGTTGGGTGTATTTTTTGAAACAAAAATCTGAAGTGTTTGATGTCTTTGTTAAATTCTACCACATGATTTGTACTCAGCTCAGTGCTCAACCCAAAATTTTGCGATCTGACAATGGGGGGGAGTATATTACCTTAGACATGGAACAGTTCATTCTTGATCATGGCCTTATTGACCAGACCACTTGTCCTAACACACCTTAACAGAATGGTGTGGCAGAACGGAAAAAACAGAACCCTTCTTGAAATCACCCGAGCTATTATGATATAATCTCATGTCCCTGTCTATTTCTGGCCTGAAGCTATTGCTACTGCTACCTACCTCACTAACAGACTTCCCACAATACCCCTCAACTATGCCACTCCTCTTGACACTCTTGGTTCACATGTTTCAATTCCCTCCTCACACTCATTACCTCCTAGAGTTTTTGGATGTGTTGTCTATGTTCATCTTCCGAAGAGTTCGCACCAAACTGGAACCTAGGGCTGTTAAATGTGTTTTTATTGGGTATGGGGTAAATCAAAAGGGGTATCGGTGTTATGATCCTATCCAAAATAAAGTCTATACTACTTTGGACTGTAAGTTCTTTGAACAATCTTACTACTATACCTAGCCTAGTCCTCAGGGGGAGAGTCTGAGTGATGACCTTAGCTGGTTGACATATCTAGAAGTGATGACTCCAGATCCTATAACACAAGTAGGTAATACCGCCGATGTTGCTCCTGAAACATCAGTCTCTTCTCCTCCTTCTACTTCAATTCCATCTAATGAGCATCCATCTCTTACTCCTGTTCTATCTGATGAGCATTCACCTGATAACTCACCAGTAGAGGTAACCTCTAAAAACTCTGAAACTGATAATGTTCCTGAAACTAATAATTTTTCTAGTGACGTTGCATTAGACAGATATCAGTTACCTCCCAGGAGTACAAGAGGAATTCCTCCAAGGAGGTATGATCCAAAGTATGAGTCTCAACAGTCGAGATATCCTGTAGAGAAAATTAGCAATGAGAACTTGTCCAGTATGGCTATAGCTTTTTCTGCTTCTCTATACTCCTCTGACATTCCTAAAACTGTTGAAGATGCCCTTGGGAACAAAAAGTGGAAGCAAGCTATGGAGGAGAGTATGTAGCTCTACAGAAAAACAACACATGGGAGAAATGCATTCTTCCCAAAGGAAAGAAAAAGGTGGGTTGTAGATGGGTATTCTCCATCAAATACCGAGCAGATGGAACCATTGAAAGATACAAGGCTCGTTTAGTGGCAAAGGGGTATACCCAGACATATGAAATTGACTACTCCGAGACTTTTTCCCCTGTTGCCAAGATTGATACAATATGAGTCTTGTTCTCAATAGCAGCAAACAAGGAGTGGCCTCTATATCAGTTTGATGATAAAAATGCTTTCCTTCACGGTAGTATTGAGGAAGAAGTGTATATGGAGGCACCTCCAGGGTACTCTCACGAATTCAGAGATGGAGAAGGGTGTAGACTGAGGAAAGCTCTTTATGGTCTAAAACAGTCTCCTAGGGCATGGTTCAGAAGGTTCACAAAAGCTATGAAGAAGTTTGGGTATAACCAGAGCAATTCTGATCACACCTTGTTCTTGAAAAGGAACAGAGATAGAATTACCTGCCTGTTGATTTATGTAGATGATATGATTATTACTGGAAATGATGAAGAGGAAATCACTGATTTAAAGGGAAAATTGTTTCAAGAATTTGAGATGAAAGACTTAGGGACTCTCAAGTACTTTCTGGGCATAGAGGTTGTGAGGTCGAAACAAGGTATCTTCATTCACCAGAGAAAGTATATCCTTGATCTCCTGGCAGAAACTGGAATGCTAGACTGTAAACCAGCTGAGACACCAATTGCAACTAATCATGGTCTTCAAATTCTTGAAGGGGCAAAATTGGCAGAAAGAGAACAATATCAGAAGATTGTGGGAAAACTCATATACTTAGCTCAGACAAGACCAGACATAGCCTATGCTGTAGGAGTAGTGAGTAGGTTTATGCATCTTCCACAAATACAACACATGATAGCAGTTATGAGGATTTTGAGATATTTGAAGGGAACAAGCTGTACAGGAATCTATTTCGCCCAAAATGGTCATCTTGATCTAATTGCATATACAGATGCCGACTGGGCAGGAGATCGTGATGACAGAAAGTCTACCTCTGGGTACTTTACTCTAGTGGGAGGTAATCTAGTTACTTGGAGAAGTAAGAAGCAGAAGGTGGTAGCTCTATCAAGCGCTGAGGCAGAATTCAGAAGAATTGCGAAAGGGATTACCGAAATCTTATGGATTCGGAAACTCATGAAGGAACTAGGTTTTCCACAGAAAACTGCATGTAAATTATTCTGTGACAATAAAGCTGCCATAAGTATCTCAGAAAACCCAGTTCAGCATGACAGAACGAAGCATGTTGAGATTGATCGACATTTCATCAAAGACAAATTAGAAGAAAAGGTGATCAAACTTCCATTTGTCAGGTCAAAAGATCAACTAGCAGATATTCTAACTAAAGCTGTCAGTACTGAAACTTTCAATGAAACACTGTGCAAGTTAGGCATTGGTGAACCTACTGCCCAACTTGAGGGGGAGTGTAGAAAATAGTATAATTGTATATATTGTATCAATTAGAATATTTGATAGACTGTAAAATAGGCATAATTAAGGCAGTAATTTAGGATATATTTATGGAAATTATTCCATGAAACTCTGTATAAATGTAATCCTTCACCAATTGATCAAAATAAGAAAAATAGAAGCTTTAACCAATTTATCGTTTCCGCATATTTTCTTCATGCACTAGCAAAGCCCGACTCCACAAGAATTACGCCAAAAAACACCTAAAACGCCTTGAAATCGCTGGACCTGAATGCACGACTACCGAGAACTGAATACCGCCCGGAAAGCTGCCTATCTTACCGAATAATTATATTGTAACAATCCCATAGTGTTAAATACATAATTATCTTACCGAAAAGTTATCTATCTTACCGACTCAAGATATAGGTGCTCGTGTTGCTGCTCACATCTTCAGCAGGATCGGGTTTGCTATAGCTAGAGGAGTGACGTGGGGGCCCACATTGTGTCTCGGCTCCCCACTAATTTCTTGTAAATTGTTTGACTTTGTATGTTTTTGTTAATAATAATAATAATAATAATAATTAAAAAAAAATTAATAATAATAATAATAATAATTAAAAAAAATTAATAATAATAATAATAATAATAACAACAACAATAATAATGAATTTAATAATTATAAATTGATTTGCTTACAAAATTCTACTCCTTAATGAGTGTAATTTATTATTCCCACATACATATATATCCCATAAGTTTGCCATCATGTAGAAAATGACAAAGTTGCAATTACTAAAATACATACACTAGCTAGCTTTTCTAACTTGCAATAACAGCCAATCAATACTTTATAATTATTAAGAATATACTACTACTATTATGTAATTAGGAAGCGTATTAGTATAGGATTCCTAGAGTAACACGACTTCCTTAATCCTAATCACATAATATATTCCTAATAATTACCCAAGTATTTTATGTACTATATACCTATACCGTACCGTACTTTTGTCTAACTAAAGCTAAAATATACGTAGTATAACAAACATAATATATATATACTTCGTACTATATATTAGTATTTATTTAGAAGCTCCTCTATCATTTGTAACGCAACTTTCTCTTCTTCACTAATTCCACCCTTAGTTTCTTGTGCTTCAACATTATTTTTTGCATCAAATTTTACGGTCATGACCCAACTCGAGTTCGATTGCCCTCCAATGGACCGCTTTTGCCATACTCCGATGTTGGAGTTCTCAGTGTCTAGCCTTAGACAAGTGAGGGAAGGACACAACTTTTGATATGACTTTCGAAGCTTCGAGTTAAGGAGGGAGGAAACAGAATTTGGATATGATTTTGATAATGGTTCTTTTGATGGTCTTGATGTTACCTCATTGCTTGAGCCGCTAATTTTGGTAGTGACAGGAAAATTTGTCTTAGCTTTCCGGCCACTCATTAGGACGGCCGCTTCATCGTAGGTTCTAGCCGCCTCCTCGGCGGACTTGAAGGTCCCCAACCATATTCTTCTTTTCCTTCACAAATTAAACTCCAAGTTTAGACAATTCATCATGACTATTCACATAAAATTCATAAATAGATTATCATCGTTGCCTTGGTATTGAGTCTATGCACAATAATCCTATATCAAGAAAAAATATTGATAAAACTCCGTAAATTAAAGATGTATGTTATTTTACAGTAATTGATAAATAAAATAAAGTCGAACTAAAACTAATACACCACTAACTCCGACAAAATTTTATGCACAAAATGCGTGATTAGGTACCGATAAAGGAGTTAAATTTCTTGATTTTGTGGAAATTTTATTGTGTAACATGATTTTAAAATAAAATGAGGTAAAAATTAGGGTTGTATAGTAATAGTATAGTAGAGAATGAAGTACGTACAATAGAGGATGACGAATCTCGGCAACCCAAGCACCCCAATGGCGCTGCCTGACACCTCTGAACTTCTTAGTAGACTGTAAGAGTCCCATAATTTTTGGGAGTGATAGTGGGTGTGCAAAGTACAATGGGATAGTTGAGAAAAGGGGTTGCTAATTATAAGTGTGGGTAGATGGAGATGAATTCAAGTTAAAGGTATACGTAAGTGATTTGAGGACTATAGGTTGATCAAACGTGCCCCACAATGCATTTAACTAGAACAAGGCTTACTTGTCGGCTCCGTTCCTAAATTTGTCTTATTCTATAATTTTCTCGTATCACTACTACTTCCTCCGTTTTTAATTATATGACACGCTTCTTTTATCACGTTTGTCAATGCACAATTTTAACGATTTATATCTCCCATTATCAACATTGTAAAATTATAAAAAGTGAATATTAATAAAATATACATTAAGACGATTCAAAAAAGATCTCACATGATTATATTTTATCATAACTACAAATCACAAAAATCAACCAAAGTGTTGTTTGTGAATAGTGTAAAAGTTAAACTGTGTCATTTAAAAAGGAACGAAGAAAATATAATATATATATATAGATGACAGCTGCATGATCGAATTTAGTTGAGAAAGTTTTAGGAGCGCATCTAAAGGTTAAGATTGATTTTTCATTATACTTTTATTTATGTCTACATCAATTCCTAATTTAAATCTTTATGCCTTCTTCACTATCACTAGTCCACTACAATTCGATCCCATGACTCTACCTTTGCTAAAATTTTGATATCTTTATTTATGTCATGTAAAAATCTTACAAGCTAAGTTAAAATCTTCAAAATGTGTTATCAAATCAATTTTACGCTATGTTTGGCTCACATTATTAGATTTATTTTAGACAAATTAAGCTCTGATAAGTTTTGATAGGTTCAAATAATAAACTTATTATAATATAAGTGTAGCTTTTGTTTACCGGTCATGTTAGATTAACTTAAAATAAGTTACTTAGATAATTATTTTTTCGTATTTCAAAGTAATTCATTTATATGCACCTCAAAATTATTCATAGACAAAAATGATATATTTAATACATAATAATTCGTAGGATTTATTATGTCATAATTTTGTAAAAGTTGTTTATAAAAAATAATTTCAATTTTTCGGATAGTAACATTTACTATAGACCGGAGTATTATGGTTTGATTAGAATTTCAAAGTAGATCATATATTAATATATTACTAGATGAAGTCCGTGCGATGCACGGTTTGTTTGTATTTTTTTAAAACAATTTTTTTTTTTTTTGGCATTTATATATTGTGAATTTCCATACATTCGTTATATATTTAGATAAAATTCCTAATTTCAAAAGATAATATATTATATTTAATTAATTTAAACTTTAAAATCTCATTCGTCAATTTTGGTATTTGAAATATTTAATTCTAAAAGAAATTATAAATCTCTTATTTGATTGGCTAGCACTAAAATTTATAATCCTACATAGCGTGTTAAGAAAATTCTATCCTATGCGGTTCTCTAAAAACTCGAGAAAAAACTCCCCTTTTTATATATATACTAGTTTTGCGCTCGGGCGATGCCTAAATGGTTGATAAATTTTTTTAATACGATTAAATAATTCGTTCTGATAATGTAGGATATTTAAACATACGATATCACATGGCTTATATTTGTATAATAGTGTATTTTTTGTAGTTTTGTTTGTAAATATATATCTATGTTATTATTGACTTGAAATTATTTATTAAACTTCAATTATTTTCACTAAACTGAAAGTATTTTTACCAAACTGAAATTATTTTTTCCGATTAAAACTTATTTTTACTAATTCTCTAATATTTTTTTAAATAAATTAATAATAATGCATTTTGTATGCGGCTAGCCACACCATATGGATGGCAAAGTAGCCCCTATAAAACTGACCGAGTAACCCCTGTAATACTAACTGAGTAACCTCTAACACTGACTAAGTAACCCCTATCTAAAACACTGATTGAGTAACCACTATAACACTAACCAAGTAACCCCTACAATACTAACGAAGTAACTCTTGTTTAGTTGGTGACACAATTTGGCCAACTACGTATAAAAGTTTGTGATTAAATTTATTATAAATGGATCTTATTTTGATGAATTTTTTAAAACGAATTTAATGATGGAAATAGAATTGAGTTATAGGATATTTATTAACAGTTATGATTAATTTTTGTATATAATATTAAAATTCTATCGATAATAAAACTCTATACAACAATTTATCTTAAAAATTATTGGAAATAGAGATGGTTGCTTTGCATGCTACTTTAGTACCATCTTAAATATCATCACTAAATATTAGTTGAGTAAGTTCCTCTAATTTGAGGGTCTTAATCACATTATTTTCCCCTTTGTTTGGCGAGGTAATTAATTCTACACAAAAATCTAATGCAGCTGCGGTTCTCCTAATAAAAAAATTAAACAAAGGTCTAATTAGGATGCATGATAGATTGGGAAATAAATTTAGTTGCTTTCAATTTAATAAATTTATTACGTACTTTTGTATGATCGAATCCATTCACTTCTGGTATATTAACATCCGTATAAATCTTTGTTGCGCCATTTGACACAAAAGATATATTACCTGCCGTGAGAAACACATGGTAATAGTTTATAATTTATGTAAGCAAATGAGCATAATTAGCATGTATGATTTAATCTTCATATATCAAATAAAGTAGAAGAAAAAAAATGCATACTCTTAGTTTGTCAAATTTCAAAAATTACCCATATATGTTCTTATTCTGAGAGATGTAATAATAAAATTATTTAAATTAAGATTAGAAATCACAAACATATACAAAATTAATAAATGAAGAATACCTGATTGAAAAGGTTTGATGATAATTCAATGTAAACAAATAAAAATTAATGATACATGATCATATTTATAATTATGATTATGTGTTAATGTGTTATTCGTATAGGAGTAACATTCTATTATTAAGGATATTCATATTAATTATGATATGTGGTGTGTTGCATTAAGTAAAATTCTATTATCAGTTGGATATGATGTCAATCTATAATTAAAATTTCTATCATTAAAAAAGAAAAAAATTTCCTATTCTACTACGTGTAGAATAATAGATAATATATAGTTGTATATATGGCAATAATTCAAAGTAACAAAGTAAATAAGATAAGCTCTGCCTTTATTTAAAAAAAAAAATCCGAAGCAATCATCCGCAATTGAAAAAATTAATCTAGCAAGTCTTGTATTGACCTGGTCTACAATAAATTATTGTAGACTCAAAATTTAACACTCTCAAATAATATAGTCACATTCTGGATGATATAATCACTTTTGTAATGATATAATTATCTTGTTGTGAATCATATTTTGAATGATATAATCGTATTTTAAACAATTTAGTGAAATGATATAATTATCTTTTGGATGATATAATTATTTTTCAAATGATTTAATTACTGTTTGATACTTTTTTTTAATTTTAAATTCACTTTTAGAATTATAAATTTATATAATCAATTTTTGGATGATATAATCACTTTTATAATGATATAATCACATTTTGTATGATATACTAGATGGTTGGTGCACAATAAGTTATTGTGGACCAGGTCTATTCTAGATTTTACCAAATTCCTCACACGTTATATGGGAGTTGTTGTAGGGGAAAACATCTAATAACTTTTAAATCTTATCTTAAAAAAAACTATAACCAATATTATTTGGTATAAAAATATAAGGATAAGGAAATTCGAACCCTCAACCTTATATAACAAGAACAACTATTTAACCATCTAAGTCAATTATCAACTACATTATTAATGTGTAAAAATAATTATATAAGTACAAACCACAAGGTTCAATTATAAATAATAAAAAAAAATACTCAAATAATAACTTAATTTTGGTTTGACAACGACAATTTCAGTTTTAAAAAGCATTTAATAAAAATTATCGATTACACGTCTACAAGTTTACGACAGTAGCAACTTGGGGCAACGCCTGGGCTACTCACTAGATTATTATGATAAAATGATCAATATTATTAGACTATTAACTTCCATCCATAGGTATAATCAATTCATGTAATTTTAAATACGAGTACAATTAAGATTTAAGTCTCATATTTAGTTTTAAATTTGAGTTAATTTGCCCTTCAATATTATTTAAAATTTATATCTACATGCATAAAAAAGACAAAAGACTTAACCTAGCAAAAAATTGACAAATTGCAAAATGAGGAAAGATTTTTTAAAAGTATCATCCTAAATTTTATTTTTTAATTTTACTTTTCATTTTTTGAAAAAAAAAAAATTGTGTGGTTGTACAAAAAATAAATAACGATCGTCATACAAGTCGCCCTCTCCCAATAATAGACGTAAGGACATTAGGCCAATTTGCCTTGCATCATTTTAACTTTCCTTTGAACGTATAGTGATTGGAGGAGAGAGAAATATGAGCTGCCTTTTAGCAACCAATTGCAGTAATTACACTTAGGAGTTTGTTTTAAAGATTACGTCCTCTTTTTCGTTCGTTTTTTTGGTAGGGTGGAGGTTAAAACAATCGCACATGTAATATGATCTCTTATATAGTTATGTGTTACATACATTGTTTTAGGATCTCTGATCTTTAGATGAATTCATATGAATCTTCCAAATAAATTATTCGGTGCAACTTTCGTCTATGGATTGATAATGTGTAAAGGTTGTACCATTTCGTAAAGATTGCATAATTTGTACTTTTAAAATTAAAATTTATTTAACTTTATATCGTGATATGCATGCTTCGTAAATACAAGTTGATATCTCATATCAATGAAATTTGTTAATATAGGGGTGGTGTTGTCTTTTCAGCAACTAAGTTGGGGGCATTTTTGTCAAGAAATTTGTATCTAATGAAATCCTTTATTCCACGCCCCATTTTGAAGTATATTGACGTTAACGATTCTTTTAACTGTGTGAATTGAATCCTTTCTCTTCATACTCCTCTCTCTTCCCAATCTGGAAAAAACTCCATCAATTGAGCAGCCCAATACAACCGTCGACGACTAGGCAGTCGGAGTAGGTGTAATCGTTAGATTTCGTAGCCAAATTCTGAGTTGAATTTTTGTTGGCAGTCGACCAGATTAACCTCAAGCTGGAACATAAGCTTCTTCGTTTTCGCTCTT